GAAAGAGTGGCCTGGAGGATTTGGGTCAACCACTAGCTGGTCATTTGAGTCATCACCTGAACACTTCAGGGAATGAGAAACAACATGGTGGTGGGAAAGTGAAGAACAGCATAAATGGTACACTACCCCGTTACCCAGTGAAACTGGGAATTCTGTGCACATCCACAGGCTTACAACACTTTCATCTTTTGGGATTATGGAAGGAATTGGCTGTGTAGTGAAACTGGTTCTATAGACAGTACAGCAAGGTTTCGGATGCAGTTGGGTGGTCCAAGATAGTACATGTCCTGAACATTTTGTAATGCTCTGAGTGCATAGCAGATGGTATAACCTGTAAAGGAACCTGCAATGCAAGGTGGTTTTTAGTGACATTCTTCACAAGTAAGTGAAGACTGATTTTTTTTCTTGTAGAAATCATACAAATAGGCATTCTGTGATAATTGGGGGGCTACTGTTACATTCAACTAGAGATATTTGTAAGTGGTGTTATTTTGTCATTGCAAACCAGGGGCAGTTGTTTCTGACCTGGAACTGACATAATTGATGGGATGAGGGAACAATTGCTTTGCTATTGCTGTATGTGCCCCAGTGGTATTTTTGCTCCTCTTCCTCGAATCACAGAATAATTAAGGTTGGAAAAGACCTTTAAGGTCATCAAGCCCAACCACCAACCCAACACCACCATGCCCACTAAACCATGTCCCAAAGTGTCTACATGTCTTTTGAACACTTCCAGTGATGGTGACTCCACCACCTCCCTGGGCACCTTGTTCCAATGCTTGACCACTCTCTCAGGAAAGAAATTTTCCTCCTAAATCTAAGGAATCTAAACCTCCCTTGGCACAAGTTGAGGCCATTTCCTTTCGTTCTATCACTAGTTACTTGGGAGAAGAGACCAACACCCACCTCACCACAACCCCCTTTCAGGTAGTTGTAGAGAGCGATAAAGTCTCCCCTCAACCTCCTCTTCTCCAGACTGAACAACCGCAGTTCCCTCAGCTGCTCCTCTAAGACTTGTGGTCCAGACCCCTCACCAGCTTCATTGCCCTTCTTTGGACATGCTCCAGCAACTCAATGTCCTTCTCGGAGTGAGGGGCCCAAAACTGAACACAGTATTCGAAGTGTGGCCTCACCAGTGCCGAGTACAGGGGCACAATCACTTCCCTACTCCTGCTGGCCACACTATTTCTGATACAGGCCAGGACGCTGTTGGCCTTCTTGGCCACCTGGGCACACTGCTGGCTCATGTTCAGCCGGCTGTCAACCAGCACCCCCAGGTCCTTTTCTGCCAGGCAGCTCTCCAGCCACTCCTCCCCAAGCCTGTAGCGTTGCATGGGGTTGCTGTGACCAAAGTGCAGGACCCGGCACTTGGTCTTATTAAACCTCATAAAATTGACCTCAGCCCATCGATCCAGCCTGTCCAGATCCCTCTGCAGAGCCCTTCTACCCTCCAGCAGATCAACACTCCCACCCAACTTGGTGTAGTCTGCAGACTTACTGAGGGAGCACTCGCTGCCCTCATCCGGATCATTGGTAAAGATATTGAACAAGACCAACCCTAAAACTGAGCCCTGAGGAACAACTGCCTGTGACTGGCCTCCAATTGGATTTAACACCATTCACCACAACTCTCTGGGCTCGGTTGTCCAGCCAGTTCTTTACCCAGCGAAGAGTAAACCTGTCTAAGCCACAAGCCGCCAGTTTCTCCAGGAGAATGCTGTGGCAGATGCTGTCAAAGGCTTTACTAAAGTCGAGGTAGACAACATCCACAGCCTTTCCCTCATCCACTAGGTGGGTCACCTGGTCACAGAAGGAGATCAGGTTGGTCAAGCAGGACCTTTCTTTCATGAACCTGTGCTGGCTGGCCCTGATCCCTTGGTTGTCCTACACATGCCCTGTGGGCACCCTCAAGATGAACCTCTCCATAATCTTCCCCGGTACCGACACACTGTTAAGATTTACTTTGTTTACTGCTAAGGATGGTTAGTGTGTCACGGAGTCGTGGTGAGAAAAATGTAACTGGAAATTACAATCCAGAAATGGAAATGAGGAAAGAAGTAAAAAATTTAAGCCCAGACCATTCCAATTTTCGTACTTTTTTCCATAATTACAAATATTATGCATATTCTTACTTGTAACAATCTTCTCTTTAGAAATTCAAAGGTCAGCTTTCTCAGTTCATGCTGAAGTGTCTCCAGATGACACAGAATTATCTGAT